ATATAAAAAAAAAAAAAGTGAAAATCGTAGGGAGACGAAAAAATGTCTACATTACTTTATTTTCACAATAATAATAATATTTTTTCGCGCGTGAAAAAAAAACTTTTCAAGTAAGTTATTATTAGTCGAATCATAAACTATTAACAGGGGGAGGAAAAGTGACGTAATAATGTAAAATTACATCAGAAAAATAACCGACGACGATTTCTGAACGCGGTCGGCGGAAAAATTTTGTTTTGTTTTCGTCTCGTTGCTTATTCATTAAACCTCACCAATTAAAAAAATACGTTAAATTCGTTTGAAAATATTAGAACGCTTATAACACGCTTATAATAATAACACGTTTTTTTTTTTAAATTATAATAAAAATATTTACGCGTTCGTGATGAATTATAAGAATTTGTTTTTTTATTCAATTTATAAAATATCAAATGTTAAAATTATTTTTAAATAATCATTATTTCATCGTTTAAAAAGGTTACCATTTATAAATGGTTATTTGGCATTTGAATGCGCATCCATATTGGAATTTAAATAATTTTTTGTTTAGTCTAAAATGAAACAAAAAGGACTAGACTAAGCAAATAAAAGAAAAGAAAACAAAACAAAACAAAACGAATAAAAGAACCATTAATATAAAATAAACGATAAAAACTAACAATTTCGACATTAAAAACTTTTATAAGGGCTTGAAAATACCTGAAATTTACAATCGAATTTCAAAAAAAAACAAGACAAATTCCACAAACAAAATTCATTATTATTATTATTATTATTATCATCTCTTTAAAACTTGAATTTCTCATACTTTTCTTTTGTGAAAAAAAAAAAAATTAACCCCTGACAAAACAAATTGAATTAAATGTAATTTGATATTAATATACTTTATGATTTACTTTAAGATTTAAAACCTGTGACCCAAAAAAGAAAAAAGTTTTTTTAATCCTCATCTAAAACTTTTAAACAAAAAAAAAAAAAACCAAGAGTTATTATTATTATTATTATTATTATTATTATTATTATTTTTTTTTTTTTTAATGCTAAAAATTATTAATAAATTTTATTATCAGGTGTGTGAAATATTAATAACCTTGTTCGCATTAAAAAGGTTATTGTTATAAGTTATTACATAACAAACATTTATAATGTAATTTATGTATTTTCTCTTAAATAAAAAAAAAGAAAAAACATTTATTATTATTATTATTATTATTTTATATTTTGTAATTTGATAACTTTAATAACAATACCTTTTTTTTAAATTTTTCCCTTTTTAATACAAATCGTTAAAATCTTTTGAAAATAAAATGATATTTTATCCATTAAAAAAAACTATTTTCAAATTTTTTGTTTATAACTTCATTCGAAATTATAAAATATGAGATAGACATTTTTTTTTTTTATTATTCAAACATTTCGATTACAAATTTAAAAAAAACCAAATTAGACTCAATTCAAATGTTTTGAAAGAAAACAATTTTTTATGTATGTGTGGGTGAAAATAAATTATTTATAAAATTTATCGATAAAACAGATTATTTACAAAAAAAAAAAAAAAAAAAAAAAAAAAAAACTTTCGAATGAATGATTGAAATTAAACATCATCACACATGATAAATATCATAACTTGACGAATAATTTCCTTTCTCATTCTTTCTTTTAATACCAACAACATAAATTTTTTAATTTTTGGCAACAATAATTCTTATCGAGTATAAAAGACTATCAAATATTAATAATAATAATAGTACATGTCACATAAAACTGGTTTTTTTTTTAAACGAATAAAAATGTCAACGACAAACAATTGACCCAGTGACAAATAATAATAATAATAATAATAGAAACTTACCAATTCCGTCATTTTAATAAAATATATTTATTATTCATTCATCCAAATTGATAATGTAATAACTAATTAATCAAGTATTACATAAAATTTGAAAAAAAAAAAAAAAATTAATTTTTTAAAATGAGTCATTTTTTTTTTTTTTTATGTTAATGAATTGCATCATATTTTTTTTAAATTATTATTTCTTTTTCAAACGGTATACAATTAATAATAATTATGTAAATAGTAAAAAAAACTTTTAATGTACATATATTTTTAATTTTTCATAAGCAGAAAGTAAAAATAAATAAATAAATAAGTGAGTGAGTGAGTAAATGAAAGAAAATCGATAAACCGTTAAAAATCAAAACCGGGCGTTTATATATATATATATATATGTGTAACGAACGCCAAAAAAATTTCAATTTTTTTAAAGAAATAATTATTTATTAATATCTCATCTTTATATAAATATTTTTTAATTTCATATTAAATTTAATAAATAAATAATTAAAAAGAATGTACGTTATTCATTAAAAAAAAAAAAAACTTTTTTACTTAAAGAAAAAAATTCATAACGGAAAATAAATATTACCTTATTAAATAACTCCATCATTTTCCTTTTTATATTAAAACTAACTCGAACTCGCGTGAAAAATAATTATTAAAATGAGGAAGAGGGTAAAAATTTAAAAAAAAAAAAACCATAATTAAGCAAAAAAAAAAACTTGAAAATTTAACGTAGCATCGTATTAGACCGAATAATAATAATTCACCATCATCCCTAAAAACATTTCACAAAATGCGAGATTTCGCGAGACACGAAATCAATGATTTCATCATCCTTTCATAACCTTTTTTTCTTATCTTTTAGGCGCCATTTTTTTTTTTTAATAAAACCTGTTGCTTTTAAAAACAATCTGCAAATTTTTTCTTTTAAACCTATCATATTATTTATAGATAATTTCATTTGTAAAATTAATTTTACGTTAAATTATTTATTCAATTTAAGGAGATGAAAATAAAATTTTGTCATTAATGTTAACATATCATTTTCTTTTTGTTATTTTTAAAAAGAATTGAATATTACTATAGTTAAAAAAAAACTTTTTGAAGTTTTAGTTTTGTGGAAACAAAATGTTTAATTATACTTTTGTGACGTTTTAATCTCTCTTTATAAATGTTGTGTTATTGTAAATAATTTTAAAAATGTGTGAACTAATTTTCAAAAAAAATACTAATCAGATCAAATAAGTTTCTGCTCTATTTATTCGAGTATTTGTTTTACTCATAATCAACTCACAATTTATCAGAAAAAGTAAATAAAAGTAAATTTATTTCTTAAACCTGTGATGGCAAAAGTAAATAAATGTAAATTTATTTCTTAAACCTGTGATCAATGCAAATTGAACAAACTAAAATTTAAATAAATGATATCTATCAGTATCTTCATCATTTTAACAATGCACATTCATATCGAAGGAATCAAATAATATTATTATCAACGGAATCATAAAACATAATCATTCGAACAAACAAACAAAAAGAACAAATTTATATAAGTTAGCAACAATTCCCATCATTTTCATCACAAATGTTTCATCGAAAATCAATTAAGAACAAATTATAACAAAATATCGAAACATAATTTCACAACAAACAAAATAATTTTTTTTAAAAAAAGGAGGACTTGTAATAAGAATTAATAAATAAATATAAGTATTAATTCCTCTTTCTGTATTATTTATTTATTTATTTATATTATTTTATCATATTTAGTTTTTATTTTATAATTTTTATATATATATATATATATATTTTGCAATCGTTTTTAATTTTTGCCGCTACTTTTTTTATTTTAAATTTTAATTATTTATTTATTTATATTAAAACTCAGAACTGTTATACAAAAATTAAAAAAAAAAAATTAATTAATTAAAATTATTTCACATAATCATTTCATTAATAAAAAAAAAAATTATAAATCATTTCATTTTGTAAAACTTAAAAAAAAATCAAAAAATCAAAATCAAACCGTTTCTCCTTAAATTTATTTAAATATTCCTACTAAAATTTATTAAATAAATAAATAAATAAATGAATTTTTTTCTTTTTTTTCTTTTTTCTCCAATTACTTTTAAATAATCAATCACTTCTACCTATCGTTTATTACAATAATAATAATAATATTGATAATTCCATTTATTATTATTATAATCACTTATTATTAACATTACTATTATTATTATTTATCATTTAATACATAAGATATATATATATATATATATATATTTATTAATATTATTATTATTATTTAATTAAATTCATCATTTTGAAATTAAGGCAAATTTTTAAAACATTATCATTATTATTATTATTATTATTATTATTATTATTATTATTATTATTATTATTATTATTATTAGCGGCATTAACTATCTAATTGCTGAATCACCAAAAATTTTACAAAAAAAAAAAAAAAAAAAAAAACAACACATAATGCATAATATTTTCTTTCCTTCTTTCTTTCTTTCTTTTACAAATTATCATTGTTATTAATTTAATAAAGTGTTTGTTTTATCACGCACAAAATGGCGGCGATTCTCTTCCCTTTTTTACCAATGATGATAATGATGATGACAATAATAATTATAAAGAAAACAATTAATTTTTTTTTTTTTTTTTTACAATATTTAATTCATTTTTGTTTTTTTTTTATATACATATTTAAATGTATGCGTGTATACATGTGTGTGTGTGTGTTTGTGTTTATACTAGTAAAAAAAATCACTTTTTTTGTTTTGTTTTGTTTTCCTCTTCATCGTTGTTTACTCTTTACACACTAACTTCAAATTAAAAAAAAAAAAAAAAATAATCCGATAATGATAATAATAAAAAATAAAAAAATTTTTTTTCCCCTTCCTTCCTCCTTCCTCCTTCTTCTTCTTTTTCTATCTCTGTTCTTGTGACCGCACACACAATCAATCAATCAATCAATCAATCAATAACGAAATCAACCCTGTAATTAAATATACAAAAAAATAATTAATAAAAAACATTGTCTTGTTTATACATATACATTTCATTAGAGATAAAGAGTAGCAGAAGACAAAAGTAACCAAGGGATATAAGGGATTATCGATCAAATAAAAACCGATTCGGTTTCAAAATGGCTGAAGAAATGGTTGGTGAAAGTGACGACAAGATGAAAAAAACTCCGGGGATTCTAACGAAAAAACCCGGGAATACGAATCGATTTAAATTGAGATTTTCCAAAAGTTGGGAAATCGGTCGATCGGATTTGTATTATCCAAAATTTCTCAAATTTTTGGGTGGGTAAAAGTTACTACATGTTATCATCATTATCATTATTATTTTTTTTCCGTTTCGTGCTCTTTCAGAACCTGTCGTAACGTCAAAATTCTATTCCGGTCACGACATTTTAAAACCCGAAGACGAAGAATCCATATGATTGATACTGGAAGAAATAAATCGGGAAATGTCAAAAGGACCGAGAGAAAAATACGAGGAACCCATTTTGGAAAGTCATAAGTATTAATTTGGACATGGGTAACCACGCGAACAAGCACAAGCACCTCGATCTGACTTTAAAACTTCGTTTCAGGTACGGTTGGTTTCAACAAAAATTTTACGAACCGAGTCCGTATAGAGCATTCGTACATTTTCCGAAAAAAACATCGGAAATGGTGAAAATTCAAAACCTATTGGATAACGACGAAAAAGCAAATCGTACCTATTATCAAATGAAAGAAAAAAATAATAAAAAAAATTTAGGTTGAGAAAAAATAAAACCTTTTGCTTACCTCTTTATTATTATTATTTTTTCCCAAACTTAAAATTCCATTTTTGTTGTTGTTGTTATTATTATTATTATTAATTATTAATTAATTAATTAATTAATTAATTTTTCTTCTCTCAGGTGAGTTCGCTGTATTCGGTAAATCCGTGATTGGGTGCACCCAAACGTAAAACACCGACCGATCTATCTTTCGATGCCGTTACCAAATCTATTTTTTTTTTTTTTTTTTTTTTTTTGAAAATTAATTCCACGATTAAGTAAAACATTATTTAAATGACAATTTAAATGCTTTTTTCCCCCCGTAACCTTTGACCTTTGTTGCGAAAATAAATAAATAATTTGACATCGATGTTTAAAAGGATACATTCATCGTACGGTGATATATCCAAGTCTTGTATGTCACCCTTGTGAGTAAAAACGGAACCTAAATAATGATGATGATCCGGATATCGTCTGTACCTTCTTAAAACTCCATCTTCGCATCCGGAATACAAAGTCGAACCGTTGCTCGTATACCTTGAAAAAAAAAAAAAAATCAATTATTATTATGCGTTAAGAAGATAAGGAAAGAGAGAGAAAGAGAGAGAGGGAGAAACCTTAATTTCCATATGGGCATATCTTTCTGTTCTTTGAGATGTTCCTGAACTCCGGCATCGGGTATGTAAGCGGAAACCATTTCACCACCGCTCATAATCACACCTGAAATTTAAAAAATTTATTTAATTAAATTCATAAATATTTCTCTCTCTCTCTCTCTCTCTCTCTCTCTCTCTCTCTCATTTTAAACTCACTGTAAAAACCATCTTCAGCTGCCATATTATACGGTTCGGGTGTCGGACAAATCGTGTTGATTTGATGGCCGGCAACATAACTATGCACCACTCTTCCATCCAGTGTGGATACTTTAACAGTTCCATCGCTACCGGCTGTGAGAAGTGTCGATTGACCGTTCGACCACGGCCACGAGATGTGAAGGAACGTCACGTCCCTTATTATTCCATTGTGTAACTGTTGCAGGAGAGTTGGAGAAGAAAAAGAAAAAGAATTATAAACAGACAAACAGATCCTCAAGGAGAATTAAAAAAAAAAAAAAAAAATCTCTTATTATTACATCGTGTACGAAATCTAATGGAAGAGGCATTCGTAAATCGAGTAACGTAAGGCCCTTTCCATTCACGGCCACGGACACGGCCATGTTCGGACATAACGGGTCCGTTGCTAAACCGGTTCGATCTCGACCGGAAAAAGCACAATTATCGTATGCTAAAAGTTGTTGTCCCCGTTCGACATCGACCACAGCCAATCGTCTTGCCGTTGTTGCTGCCAGTATCTGGAAAATATCATCATCATCATCATTATTATTATTATTACGACCCGTACATATGCATTCACTCCGATTGTTTTCAACCTTGTAGAAATCGAATATAGA